TTCTCCTCTATTGTTTTCACAGTTCTCTTCCTTTCATTTAATTGAGAGGTAAATTGACAGTAAGAAGATTCCATGGAGGTAAACCCAACCAAAGCTCAAGTCCTACCCTCTTTATCTCCCTTCTCTTGGTTTGAGATCAGTGTTAAAAAGTGTTCCCATAAAATTATCTTTAATTTTTCAAATATTTAATTTCATATATCATTTACTTTTATCTTAATTGAAACAAAATTAAACATTGATCAAAAGTAAAAGAAATGAAACTCTGTGAAGGAGGAAACATTGTGTCCTATATTTCTTGTCACTTATATACATATACTATCTACCAACACCATTCTAGCAAATCACAAACAACTTTTTAGCTTTTGTCTACCTGAGTTCTAATTATGGGAACTGGTTTTATAAATTATATTCAAGTCACTGCTTCTGTTTACTTGCTGATGGCAACTAAAGTTAATGACACCAAGAAATAAGGAAGACGGGTTTTTACATTACACTGTCTAGTACTCATTTGATATGCAAAAGGTCATTTACATAATTCCACCTCCATCCTTCTTATAATGATAATAATACCTTCCAAATAGTACTCTAACTGAGCTCAGTCTGCTGTCCTCTTGCTAAGCCTCTTGAGGGCTGCTTTGATTTCTTTGTTCCTCAGACTGTAGATCAGAGGGTTTATCATGGGGATGATGATGACATAGAACACAGACACAACTTTGTCCTGCTTCATGGATTGACTAGACTTGGGGCACAAGTACACAGAGAGGACTGTGCCATAGTAGAGCGTCACTGCTGCCAGGTGGGAGGCACAGGTATTGAAGGCTTTGACGCTACCTTTGCCTGATGCTATTTTCAAGACAGAAGCTACAATGAAACCATAGGATAATAGGATAATAAACAAAGAACCAAACCCAATAATAACAGCTACCAGAATGAGAGCTATTTGACTGATGAAGGGCTTAGAGCAAGACAAAGAGACAATCTGAGGCAAGTCACAGAAGAAATGTTGAATGACATTTGGCCCACAAAAAGAAAGATGGAGGCAAGACAGTGCTTGAGATAAACTACTGAAGAATCCACTCACATAGGCCCCAGCTACCATCTTCCCACAGAGGCCAGGAGCCATGATGGTTGTGTACTGCAGAGGGCGACCAATGGCTACATATCTATCATAGGCCATAGCAGCCAACAGACAACACTCAGTCAGACCCATCCAGGTCACAAAAAAATACTGAGTGACACAGGAAAATAAGGAAATGGTTTTTTCCTCTTTTAGGAAATCAGAAAGCATTCTTGGGCTGATGGAAGAAGAAAAGCAGATGTCAATAAATGAGAGGAAACTGAGGAAAAAGTACATGGGTGTTTTCAGGTGGGAATCCATCCTAATTAGGAGAATGAGGCCCAGATTCCAGATAAGGGTCACAAGGTAGGTTCCTAGGAATACTGGAAAGAGCATGAACTGAAGCTCTTTTTTATCAGTGAGCCCCAGGAGAACAAACATGGTCACAGAAGAGTAGCTTCCATTCCATTCCATGGATCTGCTTTCTGGCATCTGCTGAAGAAAAGTTGACAAAAAGAAATAGCTTCATTCCCAAAAATGAGTAAAAGAATTCATCTTTTATTTTAGTCATGGATCTGACTAATTTTATAAGATTAAATTATCAAAATTGAATTAATATGATCATATTTCATAGATGGTCATCAACCTTTACTGAAAATTTTATTTATTTATTTTGATTTCTTTAAGTACATTGCTCTTGATCCCATCCCACAACGTGTCTAGTTTTTTTTTTTTATATTAATGCTTAGGGTGTCAAATATTTTCTTAAGATAGTGTCTAAATTCTTTAAAGATATACTCAGGGACATATGTTGTCTTTCATGACCTTTGAATTTTCTTCAGTTTCCATTTAAACTTACATAGGAGCAATTGATAGCCTGTTCATACTCTGTCCTTGGCTTAGTTTTGACTTATGATACTGAGCCTCCCCAATGACCTTTTCCAAAAGTATAACCTGTTTGATTCTTGTGTACTTGATTCTTGTGTACTACAATTGGTAGGATCCATGTGTATAGTTGCTGTTTGTGTTATTGAAAAGGAGTATTTGCAATGACTAATTCATTGACCTTAAAATTCAATCATGGGACCCTCAGCATTATGTCTCTCACCTAGACCATATTTCCAGCTTCAAATCCTTCTGTTCCTAACTTTCACATCCAGTTTTCAGTAACTCACAGCAGTGATATATTTTCCCTCCTCAGTTTGTCACACTGTGGTGGCTTGAACATTGCTATGATACTGGAAGTTTATCACCAATATCTCAAATGTAAGCAGGGTCAATCAAGGGAAACAGGTTTCAGCAGAACTTCCAGACTAAGAACATAATAGAAAACAAGGAATCAGCTTCACATTTCCGAGGAATTAGCTGCTGAAACGATTTAAATCATAGTGGGACATTGTCAGATATAGTGCCAGAAGATGGGCCCTTCAAGTTGGAAGGCACTCAAAATACGGCTGGGGAGGACCTTCCTTAACAGAATAGAGGTAACCATAAAGAGATAGGTAGAATTAAACTTTGGGAAACTTCATTTGCTGGTGGCCATAACTCAAAATGAGTAGAAATAGCTTCTAACATATTAATAATGGGAACATGAATTTGCGAGGTATGAATCTTAAGTTTGTCCAAAATAAAATGGAATGCATAAAGAGTTTTGCCTTGAGCATATTAATCAGTCCATCCCACCTCCACTAAACATAAATAGAAAAGAGATGATTTTTGCTCCTTATGGATACGTGTTAATATGTGAAGGGTCAACATATCCCCACACAGATACATCAAACCCAAAGGGTGACCATGACGCTTAAGCATTGCCCTGTCTGAAAGGCTAAAGCATGGTTGTTCCATGTCCTTTGGGACATTCCCGTGTTTTCTAGAAGATTCATTCCTATAATAAGAGTGTGCAATGGAGTGATAAATTGAGCTTCTTTACTCAAAAAGAGAGACAGGTCATGTGAAATGGGTTAAACATAGGAAATAAGAAAATCCTTTGATTTAAAAATCAGATTAAGAAGGGTAGTTCTCCAAGCTTGGAGAATGGTGCCCTCAGCTTGAAAAGTCTACCTGCAATGTGTCTGCCACTATGACTCAATTTGGTGATGACATTGCATTTGACATGGCAGCTCAGCAAAAATCCTTAGACTCCCTTGCCAGGGTTACATTAAATATTAGAACGATTCTTGATTTCAGTTTCGCTCAGCATGAGGGAGTCCTTGCCATTGCAGATACCTCTTGCTGCATCTGGGTAAATATCTTAGGAGAAATAGAGCAAAATATTAAGATGATAAGCCAAAAGTACCCCTTACATTCAATATTGCCTTTTTGGATATTTTTAGTTAGTTGCTCAATTGTATTGGCTCTTAGCTAAATTCTATATTACAAACTAGTTTAATATCTCTAATGTCCTTATTGATTCTTTCATTTTCCCCACACACCAACCCCATGCCACCCCCCAAAAAACAGACAAAGAAACAAACAAAACTCTCATCAAGTCAATTCTAACTGATACCAAACATCCTAGACAAAGCAGCTGCACCTTTGAGATTCCATAACTGTCCATCTTTACTGTAGGACAAAGCTTCATCTTTCCTCCACAGGTGGCCTCAAACTTTCAAACTTGCAGCTAGCAGTCCAATGCATAACCCACTACACCAGCAAGACTCCTTCCTACTCAGGATTCAGTTGTTGTTAGGTGCTACTGAGCCATTCCCACTCATACTGACCCAATGTACAAAGGAAGCATTGCCCATCCTGCACTATCCTCCAATTACTGAGCCCTTTTTCAGCCACTCTGTCAGGCTATCAGGTTGAGGGTCTTCCTCTTCTTTGTTGATGCTCTGCTTTACCAAGAATGATATCCTTTTCCAGGGACTGGTCTCTCCTGATAATATGGCCATCCTTGTGTCTAAGGAGCAATCTGACTATACTTTTCCCCGGAAAGATTTGCTTGTTCATCTGACAGTTCAAAGTACTTTCCATATTCTTTGCCAACACAATAATTCAAATGCATCAATTCTTCAGTTTTCTTTCTTAATTGTCAATTTACACATGCATATCATGCATATGACATGATTGAAAATACCATGGCATGGGTTAGGAGTACCTTATCCCTCAAAGTAACCCCCTTGCTCTTCAACACTTAGAGGTGCTGTAGAGGAGCAGGCTTACCCAATGAAATAAATCACCTGAATTCTTAACTGCTACTTTCTATACTAATCATTATTTCAAAACAAATCACAGCAATCAAATTGATTCCAACTCAAAGTAGCCCTATAGAACAGAGGAGAACTGCCTCTTTGGGGTTTATCAGGTTGAATTCTTTATATGAGCAGAAAGCCTCATGTTCGCCTTCCCCTGCCCCCTCCAGAGCAGCTGGTGGTTTCGAAGTTTTGACTTTGAGGTTAACAACCTGACACACAATCTGCTCCACCACAAGAGCATCTTATAATAATCATAGGATTAATTAGGTGCTGTGTAAGCTGCTTTTCTAACACTTGCAACCAGACTGAAACGCCTTTAGTTAGGCATAGACTCGTGTATTCTAAGGACACTGAATTAGTGTTCTCTCAGAATGCTCAGAAAACTGAAAAGAACCCATCCTTGTTTGTTGACTATTTTGCAGTGATGCTGTTGTTAGAGCTTATGCTGAAATGTTCCTCCAATATAAGCTTGTGTGCTGACATAACACCCACAGGGATATATTCACCCTGAAGATGAGACTCTTCAACTTGGGAAGGTGAAGGAACTTAAAATTAAGCCTTTATCCCACAACCACCCAATCAAGCCGTATCACAAGCAGATAGATGCACACCAATGTGCATAGCAGCACAATTCACGATAGGAAGAACACGGAAACCACCCCAATGATCATCAGGAGAGGAATTGCCCAGTAAACTTTGGTATGTAGACACAAAGGAATAATTGAATAATGACTATAAAGAGGATAATGTATAATGATGAAACTGTGAAACATCTCATTGGCATGTACAGGTTTGAAAACACTATGCTGAGTGAAGTTCATCGCCAAGGAACAAATATGAGACCACTGGTGCTACAAAAGAAAAAATCAAAACATAACTATTAAATACCAGAAGAATTTGACTTTTATGGTCATGGGTTAGATGCAGGGGGCGATGGGAAGCAATAGGCTAGCAGATAGGAAGACAAATGTGAACTTGGATGAAGGGACAAAATAGCACTCTATAAGAGGGAGAAGATTTTTACAACATGGGGCAGAGCAACCTATAGGTATGTTTGATAAGCCTTTCAAGTTGCTGAATAATGCAATGATGATCTGAGATATAAAACCCCCACCTTATACACAATAAAAAGTCATTTGTTTATTTGTTTTTAATAAGAAAAAGACTACCTAAAATGACCAGGTATGTTTTAAAGGGTACCAGTGGAATCTATAAGAGTGAAAATAATGTAGTTAAAAACTCACTCAAAAAAAAAAAACCTAACTCGATGAATTCAGTATTATATTAGACAAAGCTGAAGAGAATTTGTGAAGTAGACTGAAGCACAGAGAAAAAGGTAAAAAAAAATTAGGTAGACTAAGACTGTAATATCTATGTGTAACTAAACGCCTAATAAAGAGTAAATAATCAATTTATTGCTGCTGAAAATTTAATTAAATTAAATAAAGACATAATCCAACCATAGTAAGCACACCCTAATGAAAGCCAAACATGGTAGTGGGAAAGGAGGAAAGTAAAAGAGAATAGAGGAAAGAACTGGGAAGCACAGGACAGTTGTAGAGGTCTATACACAGGCACATATACATGTAAATACATTTATATACAATGACAGGGGATAGAGCTAGGTACATATGTTCATTTATAAGGTATCATGGTAGCAGATGGACATTGGGCCTCCACTCAAATAACCCCCATTCAAGAACAATTTGTTCTACTAACACGGCACTTTGTGATGTTCACCTTCCCTGACACGATTGCTGAAGACAAATGGGTGCATAAGCAATTGTGGTGAAGAAAGCTGATGGTGCCTGGCTGTCAAAAGATATAGCATCTGGGGTCTTAAAGGCTTAAAGATAAACAAGTGGCCATCTAGCTCTAAAGCAACAAAGTCCACATGGAAGAAGCACACCAGCCTGTGTGATCATGAGGTGTCAATGGGATCAGGTATCAGGCATCAAAGACCCAAAACAAAACAAACAAAAAGCATACCAATGGGAATGAGGGGGAGGGCAGAGTGGAGAACCAAAGCCCATCAGTAATCAATTGGACATCCCTTTGTCAGAACAACCACAAGGAAGAGAAGAGCCAGTCAGGGTGCAGTATAGCACTGAGGAAACACACAATCTTCCTCTAGTTCTTTAATACTTCCTCCCCCATTAACATGACCCCAATTCTATCTTAGAAAACTGACTAGACCAGAGCATGTACACTGGTACAGATAAGAGCTCCCAACACAGGGAATCCAGAACAGATAACCCCCCAGGATCAATAAGGGGAGCAACGATACTAGGAGGGTAAGGTGGTGGGGGGAATGCAGGAGAATTGATCACAATTATCAAAGTGTAGCCCCCATCCCTGGGGGACGGACAGCAGAAGGGTGGGTGAAATGGGACAGCATCCAGTGTAAAACACGAGAGAGAAAAAAAAAGGAAGAAAAGCTTATAGATTGTTAGGGAGGGGGACAAAGCAGGAGCTGATGCCACGGGCTCAAGTAGAAAGAAAATGTTTTGGAAAAGATGATGACAACAAATGTAAAGATGTGTTTGACAAAATGGATATGTGTATGGATTGTGATAAAACCTGTAAGAGCCCCCAATAAAATAAAATAAAATATTTTTTAAAAGGAAATTAGGCATGGAAGTAAGCAAGCACAAATTGAAAAAAGATTGATGCTACATGGCTATCAACAAATAATCAAGAATATTTTTCCCCATAGGCATAAAAAAAATCATTCCATTAGAGCTCATGCAGTGAATTTAGATTTATAATCTCCTAAACTGTGACGAAATAGACTTCTGTTTGTTAAAAATAATAGTAATGATCCAGAATTACTATTATGGGTTTGTGTTTTTCTATTTGTTTAAAACACTAAGGAAAGAAGTCAGAGGTTGTGCAACCCCCATTTCACACTGGCCAAGTATTGATACAGCCTACATTTTGTATTATCTTGCTTCTTGCTTTTTAAGCCAAAAGATTCATCGTGACCTCTTGTGGAGTTAGATTCAAAACAACAAGGATACTGAGTTATTTGTCAATCTGTGAATTGTGCCTGTATACTAAGTCCTCATCATTTCTTCAAGAAGACTCCCTACATGACTTACCTAAGAGTTCCAAAAAAGGGTTCCAACTCCTTCTACTTTCTGATGCACCCAAGTATTCAGAATATTGAAGGGAATTTTCAACTTGCAACTTCTGAGAACTTCCTGTTTCATAAATAATCTCAGATGAGCATGAAGCCTATAGGTAGCAATGTTTTACTTAGCCTCCTTCAGAAATGAACCAGTTATGGGGGGTGGGAGTGGAAAGGGGGGCTTTAAATGCTCACAAACCTTTCTGTTGCATTTTAGAAAATATACTCTGGAAAATGTGCAATCAAGAAGAGGCAAATAAGACCAAGCAAACTGTACATACTATTCTCATGGGTGATAGAGGCAAGGGAAATTATTTTAATTGGTGCCCTGCTTAGGCTGCAAGGTTATTAATCCTGTGAGACATTTTTATACCAAGGAAGGCAGAATCCTGACGCTGGCATAGAGATAATATCCAACTCTATTATTCACGAAGCAAAGTATTTCCCACAGTAAATGAACACTACCTGGGGTACTCTGGGAAAGGCTCACTGGCTGTCATGGAGTTGATGCCAACTCATAGCAACCAGAGTAGAACTGCTCCTGTTTGTTTCCGAGACTGTAGCGCTTTACAGGAGTAGAAAACCCCACCTTTCTCTTGGAGAACTGTTGGTGATTTCTAATCACGGACCTTGCCGTTAGCATGCCCGCGTGTCACCAGTATACCATCAGGGCTCTTTCAGGGAAGATACCAGGAAAAGAAAATACCCAGAAATTGTGAACCAGACTCTCATCAGAAAAGAAAGCCCCAACCCTCTACCTTCACAGTTAAGAACAAGTTGTTATTTTGATGAAGTAGATCACATTCAGAAAAATTTACTAAAATAGAAATATAAAGATGTAACATATATGGCTCCCCTTTTTTGTCTCTCAAATACCCGGGTCCTTGAGGTTAAGATTATTTAAAACAAAAAAAGATAGGGCAGAGAGAACGTGAAAATTTAAAGAGGCAAGGAGATGAAGGGAAAAAGGAAAATTGGGTAGACAACTTCTAAAGGATAAAAATATGCAATCATGCCCAAAGCACGATATGAAATTACTACCACCCTCTACAGCCCACATCACCGCCTAGGAGCAGTTTTCTTTCCTGCCTTGGAATTCTGAAAGGTTATAAGCACTTGTCAGTTTTTCTTTGAAATATATATATATATTTTATTTCAGAAAATTCTGTGCTGCAGAAGTAGAGCTTTTAGAGTGGTTAAGACACCTGGCTGTGGAGAAAATGGTTTCTTGATGTTGTTTAGTGTCACTGAGTCGGTTCTGACCCGTAGAGATGTCGTGCACAGTTCGGTGCCATCTTCACAACGATTCCTATGCTTGAGCCCATAGTTGCAGCCGCTGTGTCAATCCTTGTCTGTGAAAGTCTTCCTTGTTTTCCCTCCCCCTCCACTTTACCAAGCATGACACCCTTCTCCAGACACCAGTCTCTCTTTACAACAGGTCCAGAGCATGGAAGACTAAGTCTCTGTATCCTTGCTTCTAAGGAGCACTCTGGCTGTATTTCTTCCAAGATGGATTGGTTTGTGTTCTTAGTGATCCGTGGTGCTCTCAGCATTTTTCTCCAACATTCCAATTCATGCATCAATTCTTCTTTTAAAAATTTTTTAATTTATTTAATCTATGTAGGCAAAAGGAGAAGAGCATTCCTTTCACCCAAGGACATGACGGGCAGGCCATATTCTATCCCAAGCTGCTACTTTCCTGAGAGGGGCACTAGATGGTCCCTTGGAACAATGACTCATCTTGGATCCATTAATTCTTCTTCTGCAGTCTTCCTTATTCAATTTCCATACATATGAGGCAAATGTAATGTAATGACGAGTCAGAAGCACCTCAGTCACCAGTAACATCCTTGCTTTTCAGTTCACTAAAGAGGTCTTGTGTAGCAGATTTACCTAATGAAACCCATCATTTGATTTCTTGTTTGCTCTTCTATGAGAAATGATTGCAGATCCAAGCAACACAAAATTCTTGACAACTTCAACCTTTTCTCCATTTATCATGATGTTATCTATTGGTTCACCTGTGAGGATCTTGGTCTTCTTTACATTGAGTTGTAATCCATCCTGAAAGCTACAATCCTTGATCTGCATCAGCAAGCCCTTCCCATCTTTGCTTTTCAGCAAGCAAGATTGTTTCATCTGCAAGTTGAATGCCTTGTCATAGCTGGCTCTGTAATACTCAACATCCGCTTGCAGGTACACACATGGAGCTGCAGTTGCAGGGCAGGCGTTTGAGCCAGCCCTGTAGGTGGACTCCGTGGGGACCAGAGGGAAAGCAGAGCTAACTGCAGTCAGCTTTGCTGAAGGTCCCAGATGATGAGAAACCAGAAAGGCGCAACACAGGATATATGCAGTTCCAAGAACAGAGGAACACTTAAATGAAGACCCACAGAAATATGTAAAGAAGTCATCCATCCATAAATAAAAACAGGACGAACTCAAGAATGTGAACAAGGGCGCAATTTAAAAGGCTACTAAATTTTTCAGGAAAATAAACGAAGGTAAACGGAAGGTAAAAATTAAAATAGGAGATCGGTAAACTTCAGGAAATTGGATTAGATTGTATATAATACATTGAATGATCAAGAAGCTGAAGATCATAGAAATGTAATATGGAAAGGACACAATTCCTCCCATAAAAGAAAACAATAACAATCAGAGATTGAACAAATCATTTGAAATCTACTGGAAAGGCATTCTCCAAATAATAAACATAAAATGCTGCAGGATTGTGAAGAGATGGGGAATGTAAACAAATGGATTATATTTCAGTCTCCCTTTGAGTCATAGTAATTGGATCAAGACCTTGAAGCCAAAGATGAAAACCCAATCAAAGACAAAGCTTAGTATTCCTTTAACATTTAAATACTGGAAATTATGATTTTTTCATTTTTTAACCGAACTCATAAAATGTGTTCAAAAATACAATGCAAATGTTGTTGACATTTGATCATGGAAGAAAATTGCCCGTGTTTTTTTTTGGGGGGGGTGTAACTGTGTCCTTATAAAGTAATAATTGAAGTGACCCTACATGTTGAGAAGAAAGATGTATTTTACTGTTTAAAGGAGTCAAAGTAAAATACCAATGTAAGTATTGAGGAAGAAGGGGAGACTGGCCTGAAGTCAACCGGAATTGCCTAGAGAAGTAAAGATGAAGGGGGGTGACTGAAATAGAATACCCGAGATATTTGAGTTTAAAGGGATTTTTAGTTTTTCAAAGAATGCAGATGGATTAGTGATCGATCCATTTAAAAACGGAGGCCATTAGGATCCCTATGAAAAATCAAACATTATTAAAAAAAAACGTACTCCATGCCTCAATTGTGAAAACTACTAGTCATATTGTTTTATATATATATGCCAGTAAGTCGATTCTAACTCAGCCACCCTGTGTACAACAGAAGAAACATCGCCAGCTCTTGCTCCCTCCTCACAAGCCTGGCTGTTTGAGTCCATCGTTGCCCTCATGTGCTCATCCTCATTTGGAAGGACGTGAACAAGGAGCCCTCGTGGGGCAGTGGTTAAGTATGAGGCTGTGGCTGCTGACTGGTCTTTGGTTTGAACCCACCGTCCCCTCAGTGTAGAAGAAAGAAGCAGCAGTTGACTTCTGTAAAAATACTCCAGGGAGACATTCTGGAGCAGGTGGACTCTGTCCTGCAGAGTCACTATGCGTGGGAATATTCTCAACCACACCAGGTTTATTTCTTTAACCACTGAGGGACGTGTAACGGAGAGACAATTAAGACCTAATGCAGAAAAGTCAAGAAAGCAATGTCAACAAGTTACTCATGGTAACACAGGTAACTGAGAAGCAGGTAAGAATTCAAAACGGTTGTCTGGAGAACAGAAATCAGAAATTGGGTAGAGAAGAGGCAGGTGACTGCTGCTGCTTTTTGTTTTTTTAAACTCTATATGTATATTTTTTCAATTAAAAGTGAAATGTATATCCTTGTTAGATTCCCTCTAGATAATTTAAATGCAGAATGCTGGTTATGAGCCCCAAGAGTAGAATGGTATTGAGTGTTTAAATCAAGCAGACCTCTGTAGTTTTGTAGTTTTATGTGAGCTTCTGAATCTACCTAAACAGTTTCCTCAAATGTTAAATATCAGTGTGAAAATGATAAGTAACCCTACCATAGTGCACAGTAAACTAATTGTGAATGTGTACATGTGTTACTACAGAATATTATGTTTAGCTGTGAATAAAATTGACGTGCAGAAAAATTAAAAATGAAAAATTGTAGAACCAAAATTCAAACACACATCCCATCCTGAGTAATACACAAAATTGTATATTCAAGTCTGGCTATTCCTTTCATTAAAGGTAAGAAAGATTCTTAAACAATCTGAGTAACGTAAAGAGAACATGAAGAAAAGCCCTTCAAGTAAGGGGAGAAATTTACGGTCAAGACAGAGTTGAAGAAAGGGACCTATTAAAGTCCATAAACTTTGCCCCACTGAGATTCCACTGGAAGAATTACATGGTACATGGATTTTGAAAAGAATGAAGAATCCACTGATCTCTCTGGGCCCTGCCATCTAACCTAGGTCTCCTTCTTGTTCTCTCTCCCTCTTATCCTCTGCTACCATCACTCCCTTCTTCTCTCCCCCTTCTCTCTAGTCTCCTCTCCCTCTCTCTTCTCCCTCTCTTCTCTCCCATTCTCTTATTCCTCTATCTCTCTCGGCCATTGAGTGGACTCTGACTAAAAATGACGCTATAAGACAAAGTAGAACTACTCATGTGAGTGTTCGAGACTATACATATGTACAGGAAAAGAAAGCCTCCATTTTCCCACTGAGTGGCTGAAGAATTTGAACTACTGACCTTGCAGTTAACAGCCCATCACATAACCAGGGTTCCTTGTGACCTGGGCCTATATCCCACAAGAACAGAGTTATTGTTGAAGATCAAAATGCTTATTATTGTTGGAAAGGGATTTTTAAAATGGGCACATTTGCACCCCAATATCTCTGTTGGTCCGTAAAACTGGTTGTCCACTTTTACACAGGAAGAGAGATGTCCACACTGGGCATCCTTGTCAATGTGTCAGTAAAATGAAAGGAGACAAGTCAGAGAGAGAAAACTGTAAGCCAGGGGTGGGGAACCCTTTTTCCTGCCAAGGGCCATTCAGGGGCCACATAAAATGATAAACTTAAAAATTAGTTTGCTATACTTGGCCAAACGTTTTGTTAACTCACTCCTAATGGAATGGTTGATGGCTTGTTGAGCTGAGTTGGGCTGCTAACTGCAAGCTCGGTAATTCACAACCACCAGACACTCCTCAGGGGAGAAAGACATGATACTCTACTCCCATCCTACCCTAAAGATTCCGTCTCCAAAACCCACAGGGGTGGTTCTACTCGGTCATATAGGGATGCCATGAGTCAGAGTGGACCCAAGGCAGAGTATTGGGTTTGGAGTTTGGAATGAATGTGGTGGCTAGAACTGCCTCTCATTGGGGAGGCACGTGCTGTGTTTTAGTCTGGGTATTTTAGAGAAACAAATCCACAGAAACTCATGTATAAGAGAGAGTTTTATATAAAGGTCAACTGCACATCAAGAAAAAATTCCAAGCCAGTGCTGCCCAAGTCCACATGTCCAACATTAACCCATATGTCCCACACCAGTCCACAAAGTCCTCCATCTCACAGAACAGATGCAATGATGCCGACTGCAGGAGGAAAGCCGAGTCAGTGAATGTGTAAGCATCTCAGCACTGGCAGGGGTCTCCACACGGCTGCTCCAGCACCCAGGGCTACACTGGGGTAGGTCCATGTGGCTTCTCCTCAGGGATATCTTCCAGAAACTGAGCCTTGCCAGCTAAAGCAGGGAATTGGCTAAGGCAGCTTCACCCTGGTGCGACCATCAGAAAGTAAGAGACCCAAGAACTAGAAAGGCAAGGCTCACCAAGCCATTTATCTCTCTGCCCTTAAATTAGCCCCACATGTGTTTGTCGACCAGGATGCCACAATAAACTAACTACCTCATGATGTTAGCTGGTATTGATGATGTTGCAAGCTTTATACAGCCCACCAGGGATCCTGTGTTGTAGGGGTTACATGTCTGGTTGCAAACCGAAAGCTCGGCAGTTTGAAGCCACCACCTTCTACAGGAGGGAGAAAGACAAGGCTTTCTACTCCCATGAGGAGTCAACAGTCTCAGAAACCCAGATGGCAGTTCCACCCTGTCCTACATATATATGGTCTCTATGAGTTTGAATCAACTTGATGGCAGTGAGTTTGTAGTTTTGAGATATAGCCCACAGGACAGATGTTCCCTGCCTCTGCTTGATGTTGTGATAGCCCTCATGGTGCCTTTCTTCATTCTGATTTTCTGTCCCATTTTTCTCTGTTGCTGACTTCTTCCCAATTCCTCTGCCCTATCATATCTCATTATTTTAAGATTTTATTAATTATTTGAGGGATATTTGAACTGGAAAAGACCATAGAAATAAAACCTTTGCAATGAAATTATAAAAAGTGTGACATTTTTGTTGTAGATATTTTGTGTAGATAACACAATATATATAAAGCTTGAACTATGACTTCCTGTCTGAAAAAAAATATGTCCTTCTCTAAAGTTTCTTTAAATTCTTCCCACTGGATTCTTCCCAGGGTCTCTGTGACATCCCAGAGTTGGCTGACTCTGTTGTTCCCTTGTCAAACCTAAGGCCCTAGAGTCAAGGGGAGTCCCAGATTCCTGAGAGTCTCAGCCTGCCTCCTTACTCACTGCAAGAAAGCCATCAT